TACATAACATATTCATATCTCATTTTTAGTAATAAACAATCTTTCAAAGAATAACATGGTCAAGAAGCCTAAGGTTCCTGTTTTTCTCTCTCAATCAACACAAGTAGCTTACAGTTTCACTGTTTTTCTTAAAAGTACGCTGTATCTGCTTATGAAAAAATGCAGTGGTATGGAATTTGAGAGGGTATGAAGGAAACTGTAAGCATCACAAAAGCAGAAGCACCATACGATGCCTCAGTATAACCAGTTGTAATAACCACAAAGCTTTCAAAAGAAGCCAGGAAAATATTACAAAGCTGATGAGGATTCACAAACATTTTACCCCCCCACCTCCCACTGCCCACAGGGTGCCCCTCAGCACCCACCGAGGCCCGATCTGGGCAGCAGCACAAATCTGGTGGCCCCAGGGCACGTGGCACCAATTGTAGGACAGGCCCCACAGCTCCCAGAGCATGGCACCGACCCGTCTGTACCACTGGGCCTGGGAATCTACTGAGCCCACCAACCAAGAAAAGGCAGCAGAAGTAGGAAAACCAATTTGGATTACCTCTGGCACATACACCCTGGGCTTTCAAGCCTGTGCCTGCACATTGCTGTCTATCTAATCTGTGCTGTACTGGAGATTCACAACCAACAGTTAAAATCTGTGCTGGTCTCAAGCATCAGCTGCAAACCTTCAGCAACACTGATGCTTGACTGATATATATATATATATATATATATATATATATATATGAATAATCTGCAAAAGTCAAAACCTGCACAACATGTGCTGCTCTGCTCTAGAACCTTTCCTTTCTCACCTCACCAGTGCAAAAGATGCCCGCCATTCCAGCCAGCCCGAGTCTCTCAGCCCCACGCTGTGTCACTGCACACAGACCGCCTCTGCCTCCCTGCAGCGCTGCCATCAGCAGCTGGCACTGGAGAACCACAGAACTGCAGCAAAAGCTTTTTTTTTTTTCTTTTTTTCTTTTTTTTTTTTTTTTTAACCTGGCATACCCCAGTGACAACAGTTAATCCACCACTTTCTGACCAAGTCCCTTCACTGCGCAGCTGCCGGCAGAGGCGGCACGGCGATGTCATTTAACTTGCTCACTTCCATTTGCCAGTTGGGCAGCTTCTTGGCGGAGAGGTGCCGCCGCGCGTGCTTCGTCAGGTGGTCGCTTCTCATGAACCGCCGCTCGCACATGGGGCACGCAAACTTCTTCTCCCCCGTGTGCGTCCTGCGGTGCCGGGACAGCTCGTCGGAGCGGGCAAACCTCCTCTCACAGCCCTTCCAGCTGCAGCTAAAGGGCTTCTCTCCTAGAAGAAGGAAAGTCATGAACACTGAGCAACCAACACTATTGGCTTGACTGACAGCAGCTGACTTTTCAAAAAAAGCATTTCCATTACAACCAAGCTCCATATAAATCTTAATTACTTATAAATATATAAAATTATATATATATATATAAAGTAATATTAATTACTTTTATATATGAAATGTGAAAAAAAATGTACTAACATTTAAACTTTGCAGACTCGCTATCATCAATACTAAGTAGTGCAGAAGGTGTGAAAACTCCTCTGGACAACAAACTATCTGAAATGCTCCCAATACCCGCACACAGGGCTGATGTTAGCTTTGAGCTCCATGGGTGCCGTAGATTATGGTGCCTCAGCACAACCAAAGTGCTCCCCCTTAATACAACCCATATCGATGTTGGTCCCATTCCCATTAAACAGAGCTCTGGCAGCACACCATGAGTCTCTGTGAAAATGCATGCGCCTCTTTTTGCTACTGTGAATAAGACCTGAGACACGAAGTTGCTCAGAGATAACCAAAGTGGGAATAGCTTTGACTGGACACTTGCTTTTGTTCATAAAAGAATCCCTTTAAGTTAACCTTAACCTACTTCTCACTAAGGCATTCTTGTGTAGAAGCCTAATAAGGCATCTCTAACTACTAGAAAACTGTAACTACTAGAAAAGCCTTTTCTACATTTGGGCAGGGCCTTGCTTCCAACGCTTGTAAGATATGTTGCTGTCTGCCTTCTGACATGGAGCAAGGCCAGCACAAACTGCTGAATCAACTTCCCCCCGGGGTATTTCCTCTCACAGATTAGGTGGCATTACAGTGCACACAATGAGAAAGAAGCCTTTCATTGCTGCCCCACAATATGCTCCATGAACAAATCCAGTAACTACGAGATTCTTAACAAGTAGTGCATACAGCTGCAATGTCATGTTAACTTTTAACAGCCAGAATGAGTGACCAACCTGTGTGTGTTCGGACGTGAGCCTTCAAATGGGAGCTCTTGAAGTAAGTTTTCCCACACCCTGGGTAGTTGCAAACGTGACTTCTTATTCTCGAAGAATCAACTGGAGGAGTGACTTTGGCTGCAGAAGGTATGAAGCCAGGAGCAGGGGCAATAGGAGAGAGCCTCGTGCCATTTGGGCTGAGGATTGGAGCCTTTGTGCTCGGCACAACTGGCTGGGGCACAACAAACATGACGGCACCCTTGGGGACCTGCGTGCCCATGAGCACCATGGGCTGGCAGAGCGCAGGCGGCCGGCTGGCTGCAGCACCGGGCACCACGGCAGTCATGACAGAGTTGCTGGTGGGCAGCGGGACCATCTGGCAGATCACTGGCACGGGGGGGGCTCCATTTCCCAGGACAGGGGATGGGGCTGCCATCAGTGCTGGCTGCTGCGTTGACCCAGGGACAGATGGATGCCTGCTGACTACAGGCTTTGTCGAGTGCTCAGGGCCAGCAGCTGGCTCTGCAGTTTCTCTTTCTGCAGCTGGCAATCGTCTGCTTTCATAACTCACTCTGCTCAATGCTGTAGCTGAGCACTCTTCGTTGCTGTCCAGTTTGCCATCGGTGTCCCACGAAGCACCATCCTGGTATTTCAGTACGCTGGCTGTTCTCACTGGGCAGGTTTTGTGATTGCAGAGCTGAGCATCGGCCGTGTGGCGAATAACGCTGGTCGCTTGGGCCTTCAGGACTCTGGGTGCGTGTGGCTCAGCCTCTCCGCGAGGTGTGGGGGTGGTGTGGGACAACTCCAGGTCGGATGGGCTGTACGGGGGCGTCAGGCACTGCAGGAAGAGGTGAGATTAGGGGGACATTTAACAACCTGCTGCCACGCTTTACCAACTGCTGCCTCACGGACACAGAGAAATGAGCTTGCACACGGTAAGCACTTACAAATGCGGGAATGGTGCTGAAGTCTGCCACTCCAGGAAGCAGGGTCTCATCGCTGTCCTCTGACACGTCAGAGGCTGGGGTGATGGGTCTCACATCTGCATGTTTCTTCAGGTCAGACTTCCAGTTGCAGCTCATAGAAATCAGGGCCTCAACAGCCTCGTAATCGCCTTTCTCAGGGGTGCTGTTCCAGAAATACCGAGCATCTCCCTGCTTCTCAGTCATCATCTCCATTTCTTCTTCCTGTTTGGGTCAGAGTTCAATAAGCCTTTAACTCGACGGTCTCGGCTAGCTAACAGCACAGATCGCCTCGTGCAGGGAAACGTGCGTGGTGACACGGGGTATAGCTGCACTGCCCTCCTTACAGGATGCTTTCTTAAGTCATCTGCGGGGAAATCCGCCATCTGCTGAGGATGACACAGCTCCTCGAGGCCAATCAACTTCCCCAAACCTTACGCAATAGTTTAAATTATTCCGTATTGTTGCGGCTGAAAGCTTAAAACAACAAAACGCAACACGGGACGGAGCCCAAATCCCCCCTCCCTCCGCACCCTGCTCCCACTCCCGCTCCGAACCGCCGCTCTGACCCGCGGCTACGAGGCGCCCAGCGCCGCTCCCTTCGGAACGCGTCAGCCGCCACTCGGTGTTCCCACAGCGCTCGGGAGCGGACGCGGCCACGTTTACAGCCGTGCGGACGGCAGCTCGGGGAGCGGCACGTCGGGACACGCGCGGTTTGGCCGAACGCCGCACGGAACGGAGCCGCGCGCCAGGAGCTGCCGGCGGCATCGCTCCCGCTCTAGGGGAGCTCCGCCGCGCGGGGCAGCGCCGAGGCACGGCCGCACGCCCCGCCCCCGTCCCCTTCCCTATCTTTAGCCCCAGCCCCACCCCGCCCCCATCCCCGGCGGCCGTTGGGCGCGCGCCACCGTCACCTCGGCGCACCCCGCCGCCTCGCCTCGCCCCGCCCCCGCCCCGCCCCCATTGGCTGCCCCGGGCGGGGCGCGGCCGGGGCGGGGGCACGCGAACAAAGCGTGATCGGCGGCTGCTGGGAGCGCCGCGCTCCGACCTTTCCCCCAGTTCGCCGCGCGCCCGCCCCCGCCCTCAGACGGCGCAGGAAGGGAGCGGGGCAGCACCGCACCGCACCGCGGAGACGCGGCCGCGGCCACCGCGTCCGGCGGCGCACAGGCTGTTCGCAGTACCGCCGCCCAGTGCCCACAGCTCAGCCCGTCCCGCTGCCCGGGGGGCGCTTCTCGCTTCCCGCCCGCAGATGCCGGCGGCGCCCCCCGCCTCGTACCCTTCTCTCCCCTCATGCCGCCGCTACCCGTCCGTCCGGCCCCGGGCTCTGCCGGTTCTCCCGTCGCGCCGTGCCCCTCCTCCTGCGCGCCCTCCCCGAGGTGCCCCCGGCGCAGCGCCCCTCCCGCAGCCCCCGCTCACCGCGCGCCGTGCCGGGACCCCGCGCCGCCGCCGCCGGCCGTGCCCGCGCCGATTTTCCTCTTTTTGTCCGCCGCTCCCCATTCAGGTGGCGGCGGCTGCAGCGCCCCGCGCGGGTGGGCGGGGCGTGGCCCGCCCGGCAGCCAATCGGCGGCAAAGGTGTGTGAGGCGGCCGCCAATGGGCGCGGGGCGCCCCGCGCGTGATCGGCGGCTGCCCCGCGGCGTGGCCCGGGTGTCGGCGCGGCGTGGCTCGGGAGTCGGCGCGGCGTGCGCGCTCCCGCCGTCATCCCGGCGGCTGAGTCAGTGCATCCGGGCGGGGGCGGCCGCCGCCTCGCCGTGAGGTCACGCGGCCCCCCGCCCCTCCCCGCGGCGCGGAGGTGGCGCCGGGCTCCTCGCGGTGGCGCCGGGGGGGGATGCCCTCCTCCCCGGGCTCGGCGTGCCCCGCCGCCCGCGATCCTCGGGGTCACGGCTCGGTGCGCGGCGCCCCGGCTGTGTGCTGCGGCATCAGCCGCACCGGGGAAACGCCCACGGAGCGGCGTCTGCTCTGCCCGTGTGAATGAGTGCGGTGTGCGATATGAAGTGCTGTTCGCCTCGTCAGTCTGCTGCTATAGCAGGGTACCGGCGGCGTGTGCCGCTGGGGTGGTCGTGCAGTAGGGGGCTGGAAGCAAGCAACGCTTTGCGGCTCCTCACAGAAAAGACGTGGAAGTGGTGGAGCGTGTCCACAGAAGGCAGCAAAACGGAGGGGTCTGCAGCGCAAGTCTTACGGGAGCGGCTGAGGGAGCTGGGATTGTTCAGTCTGGAGGAGGGGAGGTTCAGGGGAGACCTCACTGCACTCTGCAACTGCCCGAACGGAGGTTGGGGCGGGGTGCAGTCGGCCTCTTCTCCCAGGTAGCAGCGATGGGATGAGAGGTGAGGGCTGGGTGCTGAGGGCGGTGCTTGGCTGGGAACTGGGCAGCCAGCGCTGACTGGAGTCAGTAGGGAGGCAGCCGGGGCTGAGGGACCAGACTTCGTGTGCCCAGATCCCTGAGGCCCTGCCGTCCTGGTGCCGTGTCCTGGACAGCATTTCAGGCCGCTGGGTTGAACTGGGAAGAGCAGCCCTCAGAAAGGAGAGACCAAACTGCTCTTTGGCTCCTGCACCCCGTGGGATCTCCGTTCCCCGCACATCCCTGGCATCCATGGAGGTAAAGCTGCTCATTTTGCTGCAAACCCTCCTGTGTGTGTTGGACTGCTCTTTCCTTCCCACTCCTCCCTGCTCTGCAGGCTGAGACTGTCTACAACCACCTCTCCCAGAAATAATCTCTGCTTAAGAGGCTGGAAAATGTGACAGTTTATCTTCATATGCAGAGCTGAACTTATTTGTAATCAGCTTTAAGGCTGTCGTTTATTTTACCAGCCTGATTTCCACACCAAGCGGATCGTGCGTGGCTGGCAGCGCTGCATTCCTCCCCATCCCACACAACCCATCATCACATGGATGCATTCAGCACAGAGTTGCTCATGGCCCCATCTTCTCTGCCCCTGAGTCCATGTGGCCATCATCCTGCCTCGCCTGCAGGTCACTGCATGGAAGGCTCCAGAGGGTGTTGGCAATGCTATTGTTGACGTGGCTGCCATGGGGGTGGGGAGACCCAGACACCCCTAATGAAGCCTGAGGCAAGTAAGAGGCACTTCTTTTTGGCAAATGAGAGGTTTTCAGTAAAAATGCTTTTCCCTTGACAGCCAGTGGAAGTATCTGAGCTACGGCTGTCAGATCAAATGTGTGCTTTCCCTTTGGCCTCCCAAGGAAGATAGGGATGTGGTTTCATGCCATCTAGGAGTAATCTGATGTGTTTGCTTTTCATTCTGAAGGTGTTTAGGAGTTTGATGTTTAGCCCTTGTGGGTTATTTATTTATGCCTTTTACACTATATCTTATGTTTCCTAGAAAACCACTTGCCCAGCCTGCATGTCATATATTTTTGATGTGGAAAGATGTGGGATTGGGATGATAAATGAGGAAAGAGAATTGGCAACAAGACTGGAAAATCACTGGCCAGCTAGGTAACTTCAATCCTATCCAGCAGTCTGAACCTGAATTTCAGCATGCTCCGTTACCTGTGGCTTACCTTGGCTTTGTCATACAGAATTTACAAGGAGCAGTAAGTAGCTCCTTTATGCTAGAGACCGGCAAGAAGCCATGCTGCACTTATGAAAGGGCATGAATGATTATTTTAAACCTCCCATGTTGGACGAGTACTTACATGGGTGTCGTGATTTAATTAACCATTTTGAATATAACCCAATGATCAATTTAAATTACTGGTAAAAATAAAAAATAAAAATCAGATACTTAGAAACTGAACTAAAATTAAGCACTGTAGAGCGAGCTTGTGCAGCTGACAAAGCCACCTGTCCATGCTGTGATAAGTGTTTTTCTCGATGGAAGCATTAGAAATACATTTGTTTGCTTTTTCATGCCCAAGCTGATCTTACTCGTTACACAGTGACTAAATAGCTGCTGCATTTCCAGGATAAATTCCAGAGGCAAACAGATGGTGGTGTGAACAGAGCATTTCGTTTGACATACTAATGTGGTATGGAAGTCAGCAGGGACTTTCCTCCTCCTCACAAAGGTAACAGCATTTCTGCACCTCAAATATTTTGATAACAGTCATATGAATGAAGTCATATGAATTTTTCTTTAAGCCTACCTGCATTTTCTAATTTTTGAACTGTTGAATAGTTTCAGCCACACGAAACAGACAAAACAGAGCAAAGCTATCAGTAAATGTAATATTGCAGGAACAATTAACAGTTCCGTGATGCTAATATTTGATCCAACTCCCACTACACGTGTTTTAGTTCATATTCAAGCAAGTGAATTGTTTCTGAATAGGGAAATGCAGGTGCAGAAGTGCAGGCAGTATGTTTCTCATACAGTACAGGCTGTACTGCATCCAGTTTGACTCCATGCACCCAGTACAACCCTCCAGTATGTCTCGGCAAGCCTCTGCTCACATCATAGTGCAAAATACACCACTGGTGTTCTGTTAAGCAATCACCTCACTGTTAGTAATTGATTTTTTTTTTTCCTTGAGATGTCATGGAACTAAGGGCACACTTTAGGGACCCTTGGAGCTCAAGGCCTTGTGTCTCATTTAAAGAGATGTCATAAGAGTCATGGCTTTGCCACACAGATAGCTCTGATAGTCTTTGGCAGTACAGCAAGAATTGAGCAATACTATTTTTTTTTAATTAAAAAAAAAAAAAACGGCTCTGTGAAAGCCTGTTTTGCTGCTGCACAATGCAAGTATCTCAGCTGTATCAGAGTTATGCAGGGCTGCAGGATAGATCCCTGTTTGATGTCCAGATGCACAGTGTGCAAGCAGTGATGATTTCTTCAGTGGGAGGGAATCCCAGCAGTGAGATTGCCCTCATGACGAGAAAAGCTTGCCTAAAGTGCTTGTTAGGTGTGGCAGCCCCTGGACTTTGCCAAAGCTGCTCAACCCTGGAGGCTTTCATGCAGGTAACACAGGAGCAGGTCGGTGGGACTGGGAGGAGCAATGATTATGTGGGGAGTGTGCAGGGAGAGGGAAGGGTGTTTGTCTTTGGTTCTCCAGTGCCTCAGTGCCTCAGGCCAGAGGCAGGAGATGGCACAGAGCACACAGAGTGCAACTTGTCCTGACCACCTGCCTGGCAGCAGGGTGCTGGCATCTGGCTGCTCCCTGAACTCCTCCCTGCGGCTCGCTTTGGTCCTGCAACCCAGATTGCAGGGCACACACCTCATTCCTGAAGCTCAGCATGGGGGTGTGTGCCTCAGCTCTGCGTCTCATTGTTGGAGATGCACACTTTGGTCTCAAGGCTCACAGCTGTCAAGATTCAAGTTCCTCTGTCCCACAGCATCCTACCAAGATTTACTCTGCAGGAGCAAGGAGGAGGCTGTGTGAGCCATAGCAAGGTGCAGAGTGACGCCCTGACACCAGGGAGGTTCTTTTGGAAGAAGAGAGCACTGGTTTGTCCCTAATACGTGAAACACACATTACTGGTGGCATCCGCTCCGCAGACTGATCCTGAGTAGCCAGGTATGGTATCCAAAAAAAGGTTGTGATTGCCAGCTTCCAAAGGACAGTGATGGTTCTTTTTTCTGTGGAGAGGGATCCAGAAAGGGACATGCCCAATTTAAGGGGCTGGTAGGCAGTCTTTATAACGACCCTGACTATCTGAACCCACCCATGACTTTTGTCTTCCTGCTCTTAGCATATCCTCAGTTGGAAAGGACCCAGTGGAGTCAACGAGTCCAACTCCCAGCTCCGCACAGAACCACCCCAAATCCAAACCCAGTGTCTGAGAGCGCTGCCCAAACGCTCCCTGAACTCCGGCACTCGGGGCCGTGCCCACTGCCCTGTGCAGCCCGTTCCATGCCCACCGCCCTGTGGTGCAGCCCCTGTCCCTGACCCCCACCCGCCCCTCCCCTGACGCAGCTCCATGCCGTTCCCTCGGGCCCTGTCGCTGTCACACAGAGCAGAGCTCAGCGCTGCCCCTCCGCTCCCTGTGAGGAGCTGCAGCCACCATCAGGCCTCCCCTCAGCTCCTCTGTTCTGGGCTGCACAAACACAGGGACCTCAGCACTCCTCACACATCTCGCCCTCCAGACCCATCTCCGTAGCCCTCCTTTGGACACGCTCTGATAGTTTAATCTCCTTCCAACACTGTGACACCCAAACTGCACCCAGTGCTCAAGGTGAGGCTGCACAGCACAGAATGGGACAGCCCTGCAGTCAACTGCTCTAAGTCCAAAGTCTCCACTCCCCAAGGGGAAGAAGGGACCGCAGATGAGGTCAATACCTGGAAGGCTGCAGGTGTCCATACACGTACCTGTTGCAAAACAGCAGCCAAGGGCTGTGTGGTGGGGCCTGTGCTGGTGAGTGTGGGGAGCCCAAGGAGATCTGGAGTGGGTAGAGCTCTGGCACAGCTCTTGTGCTGCTGCTCGTCTCTGCCATGGGTGCAAATCATCTGCTCCAGAGGACCCTTGTTTGAGCAGCTGGGAAGCAGGCCAGTCTGTACTGCATGGCCCTGATCCCGAGGTTGTTCTCTGGTTCAGAAAGCAAAGTGAATGTAACTGTACCCAGAGACTTTGTGGGTGGGACTCATCTAAGATTAGGTGCTTGTAGCACAAGCATTTGTTTTTATAGCTCTTTTATGGCTGTTGATGTAGTAAATATAAACCATGGGGTTTAGGCATGTTCCATCTTTACCCTGATACAGAATGAATTGCACTCAGCTCTGCTGACTCTATCTCCAGTGCTGATGATGGGAACCTGGATGGCTTCTGCAGGTGGGTAAGCCTACAAAGTAGATTGGCGAGGCAAGGGGAATCCCACCCTGAGCACTCGCAAGGTGAGGAGAGCCATCAACTGGGCAGAGGAGGTCTTTGAGGAAGGGCAAAGCACTCAGGCCTCACTGGCTGGGTTCACTGGCCATGTTCTCTCCAGCCCAGCCGTAGTGCAGCCCTCTACTGCTGAGAGATTTGCCTGAGAGCTGGGGGGAGAGAGGAGATACTGCAATTGATAGTGAAGAAGCCTAAATCTTACTGTGGGACCAAGAAGGAGAAGAAGGAACGCTGTGGCTGTTGAGATGGGGAACAGTCAAGAGATGAGAGTGGTCTCCAACATGTAGGAAACCAGGGCTTCCCAAACCTGCCAGCTCAACTCGTTTGCTTCTGCCCTGCATGAGAAGCTTCCGTTCTCTCTCATTTCCAATTTGTTGGGTACATGATGTGCAGGTGACCATCACTGATACTCTGTTCTGCTGGATGGAAATGTCCACCTTGAACCTCTTCCTGGCCCCTGGGTCTGCTTCTCTGGGTCCAGCTGTGAGACAGGTCTTTGCCTGTGACTGCTGCAGTTTTCAGAGCTGATTCAGAAATGTACCTTGTGTAAAAAAAAAAACGTAAAGTAAAAAAGGAGTAGGCTTGCTTATATTGGCACTCGTTTCTCAATACTTCCAGAAATATTTATTTTTGTGATTTTTTTTTTCATTTTTAACATTTTTTGAGTATTTTTCTGTTGAAGAGACAACTTGAGGTGGATTTGGTAGGTAAGCTGTTTGTACTGGAATGGATAACTGAAGGTTGATGGACATGTTCTTCCCAGCAGTCCATTCAGTCTCTTCATGGGCACTGCTGAAAACTCTCAGTCTGTTCTACAGTAGTGGCAACACAAAGGGGTTCTTGTGAAATACTATCTCATCTCACCCTACTTAGGGACAGAAAATGCTGATATTTGACAGACAGAAAGAATGTGATTCTGCAGCTGTTGATTCCTATGTAGTTAATTATTCTGAGAAAAACTGAAAGACAGATGAAAGATAAACCACCAGCAGAAGAAGGCTTACGTCCAGCTGTTGGGTTCAGGAGCCACTCCCAAACGCTGTTGTTTATTTGATGACACCAGACATTGTAAAAGCAACATCGATGTTGTAATGTTTATATGTGTGTGTGTTTTGCAGCTGGAATGATTACAATCATCAGTCAGAGAACAGTCCCATTCCACTGTGAGTGGTCAGGATCACGTGGTTACCAGGAACCTTCTTCAGATCCCTCCCAAAAACGGACAGTTCCCACACCGGTGTGAGTGTAGGTGGAACAGAAGGCAGCAAACAAGAGCTGAGGAGTTTGTTGTGGGCCCCCACCCCCTTATCTGACAAAGCCTCTGTGAGCACATTGCCGTGTTTTGTTCTGTGTATATATTCAGCCTTCCCTGCAAGTATCGAGATGCATAAGCAGCGCGTGCCCTCCTCATGGGTCCTGCTCACATCAGTGAGTGCTGTCTGGGACTGGGGCTGCAACATAAATACAGACAAAAGGAGGACAAGTGGAAGTCCTTTGGTTTCTTTCATCTGCAGGAAGCTTTAAGATGTTAACCCCAGATGAGACCAAAAGCTGCTGCCTTCAGCTCAAGGCTGTAAGGTATGGTTCCCTGAAGCAGGTCACACCTATGAAAAGCCTCCAAGAAAACTTTGTCTGCTCTGTCTTCTGGAGGAGAAGTCTTGGGAATTCCTAAAGGTGGTGTGAGATCCCTGCTGTACCCCACCCCAGCGTTTTCTGCCCGATGTGAGCTATGTTGTCACATTTTATGGGTTTGGTTTTCCCTTTGGGTGTGTTTCCTCACCTGCAGCGAGTTACAGGCTCAGATTTCATGTAGGAGCAATCAGAGGCATTGTGAACCGCTTGCAGGGTTAGTGAAATCAGTGATATGGTATTGTCCTGGTTAACATACCTGTGGAAGGCAAAGTTGAGAAGCCAACATACAGATGTAACTTATGTAGGTAAGTCTATGTCTGAAAAGTGTCTGTTAAACTGCAGAAACAGTGCAGCAGCCTGTGCTAAAGGAAGTTTTATGAATCTGGATTGGGATGTGTAGCTGCAGTTTTTAGGAGACCTGTGTCTGCATGGCTCTATAGGGACAAACCCTTCTCCTGCTCTTGGAGTGACTATAAATAGCCCAAAATCACAGCGTAGGTGGGTTTGTTTGGTTACTGCAGTGCTGTGTGGCAATTCTAGCTGGATGCCCCTAAATAATCCTACTGGCCATGTGTACTAGAGAGCTTAAGGCTTTAAAAAGTTCTGGGTCGAATTTACTCTTGTTAAATAATCAGTATTGATCAGGTCATACGATGCACTATCCGAGCGGTCGTTCAAACACCCCATCTAGTAGGAGTTCATTTTCAGGTGTTTACAGATTCAGAATCCCTGGAAGAGTAACTGCTCTGCTCATAAATCCACGTACTTGTATGTATACGCATGGCCCCGTGCACACAGGCAGGAGGGATTTCAGGGATGTGCAGTGGATTTGGATGCTCATTTGGTTTGTTTGACTTGGACACTTGAATTCCAGATTCAGAAATCTCAGCTATAACTCTGTTTGTTTTAGTACATCGAGGCAATAAGTTTCCCTTGCTAGAATTATTTTTAAGTACTCCTTTCTTGCTGCCATAAAATACAAATGAAAATGTGTTTAAGTGGACTTTTTCAAAGCATCTCTTTCCCTCAATGTGCCCATTTATCACATCCATTTGCTGTTTTGATTACGAACGAAACTCTTAAGCCACGATCTGCATAAATTTTGGACTGAGAGGGATAGCAAGGAGGTTGGCAGCACTAAGCATAAATTTAAAAATGGCTTTTTGTTGTGGTGGTTATTTATACAGATTAAACATCCTGGAAAGTTTTTCTCATCTGAAGCCTCTCTCAGTTGTACCATTACAGAGCTGCACTCAAAAATACATCAGGAAAACACCATATGGCTCTGCCAGCTGCAGTGCACGCACACACAGAAGGGTATTGGTGTGCAACCAAAAAAAGGTGAAGAGTGAAATCTGTAAACAGTGCTTTATAGGTGAAAGGCTGCACAGGGCTGCGTTTGCTGTTTTGTGGCCTGAGCAGGAAGCCATCACGCAGCAGCAGCGTGCAGAGGCTGCCTGGCTCCTCAGCTCCCTGCTCCCACTGCACTTTGTATCTCAAACAGTGCTCCCGGGGCTCATAATCATTGGCTTGGTACTGAAAGCAAGACAACCAGCCTGAGATCTCACTTCACTGCATTGTCAGCAAGAGGCTGTGAGGTGCATTGAAGCAATAAGAGGTTCACTGAGAGCACCACCTGCAGCTGGCTGTGCCACAAGGTGTGCTGCATGCTGCAGGGCTCCATTGCCCATCAGTACAGCACGCTCTGCAGGAGATGAGAAGCAGCCAGGTTCCAGCCTGCCCCACGCTCCTGCCTGCCTGGTTCTTTCTCAGTAGGTGCAAAGGAGCACTGTACCACACATGTACCACACTGGTTCCCCTCCAGGAAGGATTTTGCACTGTGGTGGCAAAGCACTCACTGAGTTCACTCATTCACAGGAACGAAGGATGAAACGATAAAGTGGATTGAGAGGGAAAATCCTTCCTTCTTTCACAGTTGCTTCCACTGGAACCAGACAGAGTGCCTGCTCTTGTAGGGCAGAGATGGTGGTGATCCAAAACAAGGAATGATTTTCCCCAAACTGCTGGGAAGGGTAATCACACCCCTGCTGCAGGGCTCTGGCTGCTGCTCCTGTGAGGGAGCCCCCAGGCCAAGCCCTTACCACTTTGTGTAGTGTCATTTTCATCTCAGTTCTCACATCACCCACACAAAGAGACAAACATTTGTGGGGAGACTCAAGAGGTACAAAGAGGCTATGAGTGAACAACCACCTACCCAAGGATCAGCGAGTGCGGGGACTTTGGTAAAAGAGGGAATTAGTTCCTTAGGGCTAGATAGGATAAAAGACTTTATAACTTGTTCACTCTCTACCTGATATGAACTTGGAGAACTGTGCTGGAAGGAGTGACCAGAGCTCAGAGTTTCTCCTTCCAGGTGTGTTGTAATAGTACAAGGGTACACAAATAAGATGGCTCTTTCTAGATAAACAGATTTCTGCACACTGCTTTATGAAAGGTGAATACTGCCTGACAGAACTCCTGAGCACTGCCATGAAATGAAAGTCTCCTCTGCTTCACATTACGGAAACATTAAAAATGTGAAAGAACATTTAGGTTAGATGTTTAGAGGAAATTCTTTACTCAGAGGGCGGTGAGGCACTAACACAGGCTGCCCAGAGAAGCTACGGGACAGCAGGGGAGCCTGCACCCCAAAGAAACTGCAAAACACAGAGAGAACAACCAAGAAGCAGCAGGCTGAATGGCAGTAAAGCCAAGCAGCTTCATTCTGTGCATCTGTTTCCATAAGGCACCAAGAGAACATTGCTTTGCAATGAGCTGGAGAGGGGAATTCCTCCTGCCAGTCCCCATGCCCACTGGAGCCCAGCCCAGGATCTGACCTGACAATCTATTCTGGTCTCACAGCCCAGGGGGGAACTGAGCCCGAGTGGGCATCAGGTACCAGTTCTCAAGTCTGCAGGGAAAAGTGGATTGGTGGATAAGTGGATGAACACACAGTGCTGCAAGGAGAGCTGCGCCCACACCCCAGCGTGGACCCCGCTGGCAGCAGCGGCTGTGAGTCCAGGCCAGGCAGGGGGCTACAAGGGTTGACAAAAGTTGACAGCCAGGGGCGCTGATGAGTTGGTTGGAAAGTAACTTGTTGAAACAGGAGCTTTTAATGGGAATGTCCATATGGGGAGGGTGCAGGCTGTGCTGAGGCCGGCAGAGGCATCTGGTGGCGGGAGCTCCCTGCTGGCCGCTGCCCCATCAGCTGAGTTCAGAGCCAGGCCTGCAGCCTACATGGCTCTGGGCCCTACCAGCATGCAGGGACCCGGCACATCAGTTCCCATCCTGTCACCACCCTCACTGTGGGCACTTCAGCTCAGCCCTGCACTGAGCCCAGAGCCAAACAGCTGAAGTTTTCCTGACAGCAGGAGAAAAGGTCATGTTCTGAGATGAGCAAAAAAAATAATACAACCAGGATCTAAAACTGCAGCACTCCCTAAACCATGCTGTAAATTTCTGGAGCTGACACTGCTTACTCTACTGTTTTTCCTTGATACTGAATCTCTATCCTGTCCTGAGTTAGCAACAGCAGAAAACATCACTACCCAACGCACATCCCACAAGGGCCAGGGCCCACACTGCTGCTGCATTCCAAGTAGAGAACATCAAATCAAAGCACCATATTTAAAAAAATCAGGTATAGGCAGGGCAACACAGCCCTCAGGGACCCTGGCCCAGCAGCCTGCCCACCTGTGGCTGAGGTTCGCAAGACTCGGGCTCCCGCCTTTGAGTCCCTCTTCCCTCTGAAGAACAGTTAGCCTCATCCTCTGCAGCTGACCTATTAACACACCTAATTTATAGACTACACAGCTGCAACGGGATTAAAGTATCAAGTGAAGGAAAGCTCATTATGCTGAGGATACAGGCTGCTAGCAGGGCACAAGTCACCCTCACACTGTTCCCACTTGCACCACCCGGCTCCTGGCTCCGCATCAGACAGGCACACGTACTCTCTCAGAGAACAGCCCACAAACCTATTAAAAAGCACATCTGCACATGGCTGCTGCCCACCTCCACCTGCCTCCCCCTGCTGTTCCCATTCCCAGCACCACAAGCAAACACACACCATCTGCTCATCAGGAGCTGAGGCCCATTGGGCAAGAGCTGCACGTGCTAACAAGTTGGGCTTTTCCCTAGCCCAAGGGCAAGCACTCCCAGTACAGGATTCTTGTTAAAGCAACAAACAATGGCAGCAACACATGCAGTGAGGGATCCACAGCCCTTCCTTGCCTTCTGAGCCAATTCACACCAGGTGTGGAGCTGCTCAGTCACACACCACAAAAGGTGGAATCCTTTCAGCTGCTCCTCAGGGAGCTGGCATAGCTTAAAGCCAGTCGTAACCCTGTGCTGTCAAGTTGTTCTCCTGTGCCTTCCTTGGGAACAGAGATGCAGCTGAAGGGTGTGAGGGTACAACAAACAGGTAGGGATGTGCAGACTGCACACAGGAAGTGACACTCAGTGACATTCCAATGACTACAGCCAGGTGCACCAGCAAGTCAGCAGGAGCAGTGTCTGGGCAACAAGTGGAGTTGCAGATGTGTATTCAGCACGACAAAGCTATCTTAGTTCCTAGTAATTACTACATCGAAATCATTCCACTTTTGTTTTCAGTAAAAACTATAGGTTGCAATAACAATATAAACAAATAGCAACACTTAGCAATGTTAACTGAAATACATACTGCATTCAAAATTCACATTATTTTAATAGCAAGCTGCCTTCAAAAACCATCACTATTTCTGTTCTATCATTTGAAGATGTTTTGTTCTTAAAGTGACCTGCAAATTAACATAAAACAACATCAAAACAACTCTTATTTATCTTAACCAACTGTAACTCATATTCTACAGTAAAAAAAACAGTGTAGTCTGTTCTGCCTAGAGAAAAACTTTAAGTATAAATGTAACTAAATGTACTAAACTAAATGTAGATTGACTTCTTAAAACATCAAGATGGATCATCATTTCAGGTTCAAAAAGGAGTGGGTTCCAACCATGACTACTTCCTCCCTTTCCTTTTTCCACATTTAATTCAGTGATCTTTCTTAATGCTACCTTCAACGTAAGTCATCTTGTACTTTAACTTGTCAGGACGGTTTTATAGGCCAGTTAAGTCCAAACTGACAGGTCTGTGCACTGCTAAGTTTTCTTTAATTTCAAGTACAACTCATCACATTATAAACCCTCAATTCTTCATTCTGCAAGGCACTCTCTCACAATACACTCACAACTAAAAGGTAGAAATTATACCTCCATCTAACTGTTAGAACAGTTTCTATTACATGATCCATAACCTCACACACCATTTCAGAACCCTGAGAGCCCTCCACAGTTCTCACATGGGACAGATAAAGTTAAAATGAGAAAGAAAAGCACCTGGAAGACATCAAAGGGCTCCAGTAATAGAGAGCCCCGGGTGGTTGCAGCAGTACAAGTTACCTGGCTATGTACTTCTGGTAGAGTGCTTTACTTTTATTCTGTGGATATATCCAAATTAAGTCCAGTGCAGGACAGCACTGATGTTTCTGAAGACCTGCATGGCTCTCCTGATGAGTTAGGGCTACACAGGATAAACTGAAGTTGAAAGTCAGACAACTCATTGAACACACGAAATAACAACAACTAGCAACCTGCTACAGAACTCGTAGTGCTTGTAAAGCTGCACAAACCCATGCTGCCCTGGGGACACTACGTGCACCAGCTACATGACTACTATCTCTCCTCTGTACATTTGTCATCTGTTGCAGGGTTGCCATTGGCTATCAGAACTGAAACTAAAGTCATGCTATAAAATTAAACACCACAACTTGCATTTCAGCCTTCCAGAAATGTACTCAGATTTTCACTTTATACAGATTTATCAAGCTCAAATTATTTACAATTTAATGCCAAGCTGCAATAAAGGCCAAAAGAGAAGGCAGCTTCCCAATCATGTAGACATCTGCTCTACAGCTACCTCTTCTGCCTGCCTCCTCCCAAAGGTAGCCTGAAAAACATTAAAATCTACACAAAGTTTTATTGCAATCATACAAGGGATACATCAAGGGTCAAATACAACAAATACTATGATGCAATTTTACATTTATTAAACTACAGTTCAAAGCACAAATTTACACATTCTAAATACACTAAACATCTAATGAAGTCACACTGGTCTCCCACTGACATTTGATATATCTGGGCGAAAGACAATAACTTTACAAGACTTTTCTAACAGGAATCCTTAGTATAAAAACTGTGTACTTGTATGTAAACTGTTGAAGAACCCAAGTGATGGGTTTCCATCTCCACTA